CGTCCAGCGGGCAGTGTCCGGAGACGGTGAACACAGACAGCGTCCAGTGTCCGGAGACGGTGAACACAGACAGTGTCCAGCGGGCAGTGTCCGTTTTCTGATGAAGGGTCTAGGCCCGAAACGGCAGCCTCTCTGCTCCTATGATGCTGCTTGGCCTGCTGTGTTCATCCAGCCCTGCACCTTGTTGTCTCCGTCTTCACTCCGCCGGTTTTGGGAATTTTGCCCCGGACCAGAATGGGTCTGTGATTGTACAAGTCTAAAACGTAGGGTTATATTCTCTGACCACCGAAAGAGAATGAACAGGAATGACAGCAGTTTTCTCCCTTTTTGGGGGGTAAATTATAAACTTCTCCCTTTGGGCCCTTCGCTTCCAAGAACCACGTGCCCCGTGTCCTCATCATCATGGCGGCAGCAACGTGACTATCACGTGATGAAGGGGTGGACCGTAAAGTGAGGCGGCGATACTGCTGTAAAGTGTCGCGCGGTCGCTATGGTTTCCCGTGGTCGGTGAGTCTGGAGTGGGCCGAGGTGACGGACGGATCGTTTCTAACTCGATCTCCCTCAGACGGACGGAAATGGACAACTCGGGAACCGGGGGAGGTTTACGGGCCGGGTTCGGCCTTTTCAGCGGCGGCGGCGGTGGTGGCGGCGCTGGCTCCTCGGTGCCAGATTATTCTCAGCCCGACCTTTCCCGTGTCCCCTGTGAGTAAGAGAGCGAAGCCTGGGACAGTAGGCCGTATCTTCACTAGTGTCAGCGCCTAGTTCCCCCTAACTCCGTCCGAATGCTCTTAATTCGTATAACCAGCCCCTTATACAGTTTTCTCAGGGTCTAAAGTAGATTGTAAAGGGGAACGCTGGGAACTGTATTTGGATTTGATAAAGTACCACGAGATGTTATTACGCAACATGAGGATTTAATAACCACACTGCGATTTTCATTTGATGTCCCTATTAATGTTCAAATTCTCCCGTTTTTCATCCCTTGCCTTTTTTTAAATCAAATATAACCTGTACCTAGGCAAGAGAAAATCTGGGTGAAATGTCATGCTTCTTGTAAATAGCCATTCCAATTGCATCGTGTTGTGTGCAGTCGAACCCAACTCTTCCTGATGTCTCCAAGACAGTTGCCATGACCATATTTTGGGGCTGATGATACCCTGTAAATGATCGGTGGAATAACGTACCTCCACCGACCACCCCCCCCCCCCCCCCAACCTTGTTTGGACGTACACCGGGACATGTCAGCGCACGGACCTCGTAACTTGAACTATCCGGTGCCCCCACGCCTACTGTTGGCTAGCCAGCATGTCAATGATCATGGATCCCCGCTTTCCCACGGCCTTTCAGTCTTTTGGAAATTTTCTCACCAACCCGTTCAGAGATGTTATTGCACACCTCTGGAGTAGACGGGACTTGAATCTGGTTAGAGACAAAAGAAAATCTACAGATGCTGGAATCCAAGGTAGACAAACAGGAGACTGGAAGAACACAGCAAGCCAGGCAGCATCTGGAGGAAAGGAGGAGTTAATGTTTCAGGTATTACCATTCTTCTGAAGAAGGGTAAGTACCTGAAACGTTGACTTGAATCTGGGCCTCATTGGTAAATGTGGTTGGACTCAGTTGGGTGTTGCATTTACATTTACATGGATTCCGAATTAGTCAGCAGAAAAACAGTTAACCTTCCGAAGGGCAATCCTGCAAGTGAACCAGCTGCCAAAAGAAATAATCTCAACCCTGCCATTGGAAATCAAGTCCCATTTTTAGAGTATTTCTGTTTAAAAGTTTTCATTATCAGCAGCACCATCTCAGCAGGTAGAACCACCCATTAAAAATAGCGTAAATTATTACAAAATGTTATTGGAATATTGACATTAAACGGATGCTGATGCAACTGAAGCAGAGGAGTATGCAGAAAGAGAAAAAGACTACCACCAGATGCCTTGAATACTTTGCAGCCAATTAAATATTTTTGAACTATAGGAAGTTATAGTGTGGGAAAAGTGACAACCATATTCATAATTCCCATAATCAAAAACATGATAACCAAAAATCCTCTTTTTAGTATTATGTTAATTGTGGGATAAGTATTGACCAAGTCACTGGCAGTAACCTCCAATCCATCATTTTCCAGCCATCTTCAATTTTGAAGAAGAGTTAAATTGGATTGAACATGTTAGCTGTGTTCCTGTCTCCACAGATGCTGCCAAACCTGCCGAGTTTCTCCTGCAATTTCTGTTTTAATTTCAGATCTCCAACATTAGTATTTTTGCTTCATCCATACTGGGTGCCTCCATACATTGAACCCCTGTTTTGGTCCCAAATTAAATTTACACCTCCTTACTAATCGTTTACGCCTGTAGAAGCTTTACGATTCCCTTTTACCTTCATGTGAGTCTCCTCCCATTCTCTCTCCATCTTCAACAAGAGAGAATCTAGACAATCTCATTAATATTCAATTGCAACATCCTGAGTCATTGACCAGAAATTTAGCTGAATCAGCCATGTAAATGTGAAAGATTGGTTCTAAACTGTGACACTGCTGTTGTTTCCTAACTTCCCTTTGCGTAAATATCTGTTGTTGACAGTCTGACTAAAGTGGGAACGTGGGTAACTGCGAACTGTGTGTGAAAGAAAGAAACTAATATGTAGGGTGGTACTGTAAGATACAAAAATGACAAAGGATATTGTTGGAGCTAACCTTTACCTTTGCTGTTTTCAGTAACTGGAATGAGCCCGTTGTCTCCATATCTGAACCTTGATCCTCGATATTTGATCCAAGTAAGTAGAAAATATTTTTCTCTTTGAAGTATTCTGGGCTCCATGAACCTGTTTGAAAATCTTTCATGGGTGAAATAAAAGACTTTCTGATGTTTTTAATGTAATGTGTCATTCTATACTGTATGATCTAAAATGGTTCACAAGTCTATGCTTCACTGTGGCATTTGGCACTGACGTTCAATGCCTTTTTAGACTTGTATGTTATATGTCTGTGATTTGCTAAGTGGACTTGTGCTGATACTTTATCAAAGCTTGCCCTCCTAGTGTGAAGGTAAAGTGGCTTTCTCTTTTCTCTTTCTCCTTTCTCTTTCTCCAATATTAAGCCTATAGGCTTGGGTGATTTCAGGAAGTGCAGGTAGGTTTAAACTGAGGGCTGCGTGAAGCTCCAGCAAACCAACTCTTAAAGGCCAGGTAACTCAATTCTGTTTCTGTCATTATTTCTTCTCTGAATCTGTGGCGGTTTGGGAAAGGATTATTCAGAATGCTATTTGTCATTAAGTCCTAATAAAAATCAGTCAGTCTTGGCATCGCGAGGTACATAAGGATTTATACGTGGGATGGCATTTAAAGTTCACCCTAATCTTTGAATAAATATCTATGTGGTTCATGAAAGCGTGAGATTGAACAATCCTAATTTGTGCTTCTAGAAACTGAGTTTGAATCCATCAGTGTATCTGGGTCTGATGTGAAGTGGTTTATGTGGTACCTGTAATCTGATTTCTTGTAGATCACAAATTGTTCATCGTTTTATGTTAAGGAAGCTCTGATGCATTTCACTATATTATTCACTGTAAAATGCAAGTGACAAATCATTCAATTCAATTCTTTGGTAATGATTGAGTAATATATTGTTGAGGCTCGGAAGGTTGAGTAGAGGAGTTGCGACTGTACAGGACATTGGTGAGGCCACTTTTAGAATACTGCATGGAATTCTGGTCATCCTTCTATAGGAAAGATGTTGTGAAACTTGAGAGGGTGCAAAAAAGACTTACAAGTATGTTGCCAGGACTGGAGGGTTTTGAGTTATAGGGAGGGGCTGAATAGGCTGGGCTTTATTCCCTGGAGCATTGGTGGCTGAGGTGTGACCTTATAGAGATTTATAAAATCATGTGGGGCATGGATAGGAAGTATAGGCAATGCCTTTTTCCTAGGGTGGGGAGTCCAAAACTAGAGGGCATAGATTTAAGGTCAGAAGGGAAAGATTTAAAAGGGACGTGAGGGGCAACTGCTTCACATAGGTGATGTGTGTATATGGAACGAGCTGCTAAAGGCAGGTACAATTACAACATTCCAAAAGACATTTGGACAGATGCATTGATATGAAAGGTTTAGAGGGATATGGGTCAACACAGGCAAATGGGACTAATTCAGTTTGGGAAGCCTGGTTGGCACGGGCAAGTTACTGAAAGGACCAGTTTCCATGCTGTATGACTCTGATATCAGGATAACTGATAAGGGATGATGTCCTGGTTCAGGTGGTGGTTGGAGAGTTTTACTGTATGTCTGACTTTGAACTACGTGCTCAGATATCAAAAAAAGAACTGCTTTGTACATCTGGTCTGTGTTATGTCTGAACTGACTACTTGAAAGGATTGGAAAGTAGAAGCTGATGTATGTTGAGCCTGTTTTCTGAGTGTAAAACATGTTGCAATGCTCCCAGATTTAGTTGTGGGGCAGTCTTGCCTGAACTCTGCTAAATTCAAGAAATCCTTTTGTTTTTAAATGGCCTAGCAAGCCACTCCGTTCAATGGCGATTGAGCGTGGCCATTTGCAGTGACGTCCACCTCCATGAAAGAATAAGGAAGAAAAAAATTCCCTAGCAGTCACCTAAAACTAGTATTTAGCTCTTTGTATTCTCCCTCTGCTAAGTTAAAATGCCCTCATTGATGTGCCTGCTGCATCCAGGCTTGGGTTGCTTCTATATGTCTACCACCAAAATTTCCTGTCTTCCACTTGCACCTCCACCCCCAAAAAAAGGGAAAATGTTGAACGTTATGGGTGGATTCCGCAAGAATATTTCGCACCAATCTTAAAGCCCATTGGCAGCCTGATTATATGACCTCCTATCATCCTCCTCCAACCTACTCCCTGGGATTTGACAAGGATAAGCAGCCTGAAATCCATGCTGCTGAAGTGGTTGAGCTGTGAATATGTGCTGCATTTCCAAATTTCAGGCCAATGTTGAGCTTTAAGTTAAAGTGGCCTGTGACCAATTTGACACTTAGATCTTTACGTTTGCAGTTGAATTGTGCTTTCTGATATACCAATACTTGACATTGGTAAAGGACACAGTCATCCCATCCATATAGAATGTTATGTTTGTGTGGAAGCTCTGCGATCCTTTTGAACATGACGCATTTCAGGCATTTGCAACAAAGGATTCTAGTGTTTCTTTTATTGTTGAATTTTTACAATAGAGAAATAATATAAACTCTGCTGTCTGTAATGCATCATTATTACATCAAGGTAAATGTAAATTAAGAACTAGAGTACCTATCAAATGTCCTTGATTTGTAATTGATCTTCTTTTCAAAATGGTCATTGAATGTGTCAGATAATGAATGTATCGATTGAATTCTTCCAAACTTTCCTAGATTCTGGAAGGGTGCCAGGGGATTGGAAAACTGCTGATACAATTCCCTTATTTCAGAAAGGAGGGAGCCAGATAGCAGAAACTATAGGCCAGTTTGCCTTGTGTCTGTCATCGGAAATTGTTCGGTTTTATTATGAAGGAAAATGTAGCAATTTGCTTAAATCGCAATGCAATTAGGCTGTCAGTGTAGTTTTGTGAAAGAGTAGTCATGTTTGACAAACTTGTTAGAATCCTTTTGAGGATATGGCTAACAGGGTGGATACAGGTGTAGTGCATTTCAGTTTCCAAGAGGAATTTGAGAAGTGCCACATTAAATGCTATGAAACAAGGTAAGAGTTGATGGTGTTTGGCATGTTATATTAGCATGGATACAGGTTTGGATGACAAATAGAAAACAGGGATTTGGGATGGCTGATTCATTTTCAGGTTGGGAAATTGTAACTAATGTGGTATTACAGGACTGTGTTTTGGCCTTAAAACCTCTTATGGGGTTCTCTGCCTGAAGAGAGAGATCCGATCTACAGCCACCTCCACAGATAGGGCAAGGGTGCAGTTTTCAATTCCACCCCATTGAAATGGCGATTACAAATCATGCTGTTGTCACCAATCTAATTCACATTCAGTCAACCAACTCCTCAATATACATGCCTGGACTTATGAGCGGAGACGATGGCCTAGTGGTATTATCGCTGGACTGTTAATCCATAGACCCAGGTAACGTATGATGGTGGAATTTGAATTCAATAGAAATCTGGAATTAACAGTCCAATGATGACCGTGAATCCATTGCTGAATGTCGGGAAAATCCCATCTGGTTCACTAATGTCCTTTAGGAAAGGAAACTGCCATCCTTACCTGGTCTGGCCTACATGTGACTCCAGACCCACAGTAAAGTGGTTGACTCATAACTGCCTTCTGGGATGGGCAATAAATGCTGGCCTAGCCAGTGTCGCCCACATCCCATGAATGAATAAGGAAAGAAATAAATAGTGCTGATACAGCCTTCAATTACTTTCGATTACATAGTTGACTAACAGTTTCTCTTGCTGTAGCCACCTGCCATGGTCATTTGTTAGAAGAGTTTACAAGTTGATAACCTTTTTTGGCTCTTATGAATGCATTTCTCTAGGCTGTTAAGGCCCAGAATGGATCTTCAACCAGGAGCTCATGGTTGAGATGCAGGGATATTACCACTGCACCGTAGGATCTTCTACCTCAATTATTGATGATCTGTAATAACTTGGATGAAAATATCAAAGGTACGGTAGCCAAAGAAATGACAGTGTGATAGATGGGAAAGCAAGTTTTGAGGAGAACACAGTTTCTGAAAAGATATCGGTTAAATGAGTGAGCAAAAATTGAGATGTAGTATGATGTGAGAAAATACAAGGTTGTCCACTTTGTTAAGAAGAAAAGCAAAAAAGAATTTTAAATGGTGAGACTGCAGAATACTGCAGTGTATAAATCATAAAAGCTTGGCATGCTGCAGCTATGCATTGGTGAGACTCCATTTCTGAAGAAGGGTCCAGACCCGAAACGTCAGCTTTCCTGTTCCTCTGATGCTGCTTGGCCTGCTGTATTCATCCGGCTCTACACCTTGTTATCCAGAGCAATGTGTTGAGTTTGGGTTTACTTATTTAAGAAGGAATATATTTGCATTGGAAGAAGTTCAGTAAAGATCCAATGGATTGATTCATGGGTTGCAGAGATTGTCTTGTCATTGTTCCACTCAACCTTGAATATATTCAGATTTCTGATCTACAAAGAAGTTGAGGGTTATGGGGGCAGATGGGAAAATGGAAGGACAAGCCAAATATCCACCAATTGACGATATATCCATCAGCATTCCTATGTTTTCAGATCTCATCTGGGATTTACTCTAAACATGGAAAGCCCCCCCTGTCGTCTTGGTTGGATTTCCTAGTTCATTGTCATCCTTTCATTGAGTGGAGAAAGAACTTCTGATGTTTGAATCTGCAACATTGGCAGTTGGTACAGATGGTGCTTTCTGTAGTACCTACCCCTACCTCTGTGGTAAAACTTCTTGGGCATCCAGTTCCAAAGAGAGAAATGTTTCTTTGCCATTGTGTAAGAAATATTTCCATTACCTAAAGCAGTGTTTATTTTCCCCTCCCACTGCTGCCTCAAGACAGCCAGAAATAGCAGCGATGTCACTGGGCTAGCAGTGGCCCAGGCACATGCTATGGGGATACTGGTTTAGAACCTGCAGTAGTTAATTCACTTACTGTTTGGTTCACTAATTTCCTTCAGGGAAAGAAATCTGCTGTCCTTGCCTAATATGGCCTACATGTGATTCCACACCCCCAGAACCTTGGCAATGTTGTTGACTTTTAATTGCCCTCTGAAATGGCCTAGTAAACTACTCAATCCAAAGGGCAATTAGGGATGGGCAACAAATGCTGACATTGCCATTGATTCCCAGAATCCATGAAAAAATACATTTCAAAAAATGTTTAGTGTTTTAAATAAATTTCCTTTATTGAGGGTTGTCTGATGTAAGCAATTTCCAGGTGTTTACGGTTCCAAGCGGGAATCAGTATGTTATGATGAGTTGTTTATGACTGTCGGTAAGAGCGCATGGTTTGCAGCTGCCTGTTTTTATTGGGTTCGCTGTCTTGTGAGTGCTTATTATAGTAAGACATTCTATGCTACCTTGAGCCAGAAAATCAGAACACCAACTGATGGCTATCTGTCAGTCTTTGGGTTGAAAAGAGATGAGAAATTATGACTCAGCTACCTACCGTTCATCCCTATGATACACTAACATTCACAGCATGGCGTCTAATTATATTTTAAGTAAGCTCAATACTTTTGAACCATAGAAAAGTTACAGCATGGAAAGAGACCGTTCAGCTCATCATATCTGCACCACCTGAATAAATCAGCCACCCATTCTAATCCTATTCACCAGCATTTGATCTGGGGCCTTGCACAATACACTACTTCAGGTGCAGATCCAGATTCCTTTTAAATGAGTTGAAGATTTCTACTTCCACCAACAAACCGGGCAGCGAATTCCAGATAACCCACCATCCTTTGATTAAAAATGCTTTTCCTCATGTCATCCATAATCTTCCTACCAATCACCCCTAAATCTTTGCTCCATGGTAATTGATGTCTCCACTGGGAAGAACGAGTCTTTCCTTCCACTCCATCCCAAGGCCCTCAATATTTTGTACTTCTCAATTAAACCTTTTCTTCCTTTTCTAAGAGAAACAACCTTAGTCTGTCCAGTCTTTTCACATACCTGCAATTTTCAATCCCCGAAACATTCTTGTATGCCCTCGAGCTATTCTGTCCTTCCCGTAGTGTGGTGACCAAAACTTTACACGACCTCCAGCTGTGTCGTAACCACTGACCTATATAGTTGCAGTGTTACATTCCTGCTCTTGCCGTTGCATTCAGTACCTTGCTCATTGAAGGAAAGCATCCCCTCCTGTCACCTACTTTACCACCTTATCTACCTGTCCTATCATCTTCAAGGACCTCAAGACATGCACTCTTTGGGGGCTATCACTTCTTCTAACCCTCTCCGTAGCCTGCTGTTATTGTGTATTCTCATGTTTTGTTTGCTCTTTACAAATGCATAATCTCCCACTTCTTGGATTGAATTTCATTTGCCATTTTTCTGTTCACCAGTCAAGCCATTGATATCTTTCTGCAGTCAACAGCTGTCTTCTTTGCTATCAACTACCTAGCCAATTTTTGTGACCTCTGCAAGTTTCCAATCATGCCTCCAACATTTAAGTCTAAGGGACCCAAACTGAGCCCTGTGTAATACCACTGGAAGCTGCTTTCCATTCGCAAAAATGTTCATCAACTATTACCCTTTGTTTCCTGTCACTGAGCCAACTTTGGATCCAACCCACCACATTCCCCTGCCTGTGATTTGTTGCCAAGTGCTTTACTAAAGTCTGTAAAGACAAATTCCACAGCATTACTTTTATCAGTCAAGTTACTGCCTCAAATTCAATTAAGTTAGTAAGATACAATTTTCCCACAACAATACCATGCTGACTATCTCTGATTAATCCGTGCCTGTCCAAGGACTTGCTAATTCTTTTGCTCAATATTGAATGTAGTAATTGTCCTACCACAGCAGTCAGAGTGACATGCCTAGAATTATTTGGCCTATCCCTCCCACTCTTTTTGAATAAGGAAATAACGTTTGGAAACCTCCCATCTTTAGGTACCTGGCCTGTATTTGGTGAGATTGGAAACTTATCCTTTGAATCTGCTATTTTCCTCCCTGACTCCTTTAACAGCCTAGGGTACAATACACGCGGCCCTGGTGACTTATAAAACTTCAAAGAGGTCACTCCCTCCAATACTTCTTTGATTATGCTTCTTTTATCTAATAGTTCACGTTTCTCCCTTTTTATAGCAGGAACGTCTGCATCATCCTTCTCCTTTATGAAGACTGGGACAAAATACTCATTTAGAACCTTGCCAATCTTCTGCACACAAACTCAAGTTACATATGTATGTCTCTGATTGACCCAATCTTTTTGCTAGTCAACCTCTTGCTCTTAAAGTACTGATAAAACATCTTTGGATTTTCTTTGGTTTTACTGGCTAAGCAAATTTCCTCTTTCACTCAAACGTGGCTCTAGGCTCTACGTCTGTTAAAGTATTACTTTGTTTAAGATTTTTTCTGCTTTACCTTACCCTCTGTGTTTCTGGATAAACAGGGAACTCTACAGGTTTAACATTACCACCCTTTTTCTTTCGGGGACATGCCAACGTTGCCTGTAGAATCATGTTTTGAATGTGTTTCACAGGTTTACCACTGACTTTGTTTGAAATAGCTATGACTAGTCTTCTTTTGCTACCTCATCTGTCAACCTAAAAGCTTGCCCCCCAACCCCCATTTCGAACTTTGATTGACATTCTATCTTTGACCCCTTCCAATGATGCCAAATCTAGCTATATTATGATCACTATCTCCAAAATGATCACTCACTGCTACTTCATTCACCTGCCCAGCTTTATTTCCCAAGACAAATTCTAGAATTGCACCCTGTTTCATTGGGCTTATGTGCTGGCTAACAAAAATTATTGTGAATGCAGTTCAAGAATTTTGTGCCTTTCGTAGTGTATCCTTTCGATATTTTTGTAAGTTGAAGTTCTCCCACTGTTTCAGGGTCCATAGTACACACTAAACAGAGTGGCTGCCTCTTTTTTTTTTTAAATTTATTCTATGTCATCCACCCTCACAGCTCTGATATTTTACCCAATAATGCTACACAACCAGCCTTGTTTATTCCTTTTGTGATCCTGTCTGAAAACAGCCAGGGATGTTGCGTTGCTGTCCTTGTATCCTTTAAGCCAAGTCTCTGATAAAGCAATGATATCATACTCACAGTTAATCGACTTCATTCAGTATACTTCTTCTAGTAACTTGTATACCTTTTTAATACAGCCAATTTTTTTCTGCAAAACATTTCTTAATGTCTGTTTCCTCTACTTTCATAATCAATCATTAAGTTTCTGTCTCCCATTCCCTGCTCAGAAGAATCACTAATTTAAGTAGGAGGGGATTGGGCAATGAAAGAATAAAAATGAAGATAGGAAAAAATAATTGCAGTAGGGCAGGAGCAGGCTGAAACAATGGGTCTTCCAGGGTAGTCCTGTCTGTTTATTTTGGGAAGAAGAAAAGCAGGCTGTGTGGGATTGGGGGCAGTAAGGTGGAAAGCTTTGAAGAGGAAATCTCCACAGTAGATGAGGTCAGTCTCGGTCCTGGAACCATGTTCAGTGGTAACGTAATGGTCCCGAGGCAGATAGGACGAGATGTCTGATAGTTGGTGCTGAGAGTAGTGGCTGGGCACACTGTTCAACAAGAGATGCCTAGACTGCTAACAAAAATATGATCTTGCCAATATATTGTAGAGCCTTGGTGTACTTAACACAACTTCTGTATACTTACTCTTTCTCTGTGTAACAGCACTCCATTACCTTATTCAAGTTGCTTTGACATCTGCTATCGCAGCTGATTTCAAGACACATCATGCTTTTGTCCAAAGTTTGTATCATCGTTTTTATCGCGAACAATGGGTAATACTTATTTTTACCAGTATTCAGTCTCCTTTGCTATGTATTTGCATATGGTGAAAACCAATACAAATCATTTCGTAAATGCGTTTTCACATCTCTGTCACTAATTGTCCTATTTTTCCGTTGTCAGCAGATATATTCACTGTGCTTTTAGTATCTTAAGTGCATAAAATTCCCAGATTTTAAAATCAAATTTCATTATAAGATATGAATTCTCACCTTTGCCTTGTTATGTTTCAGGACACTGAGGAGTTTATATTACCAACTGGAGCTAATAAGACTCGAGGAAGATTCGAGCTGGCTTTTTTTACGATTGGTGGTTGCTGTATGACTGGTATGCCTGGCAGTTTTGTTAGATCAGTCATAGATACTGAATAAGCCACAAATTAAGAGCTCTAGTAGACTTAGCAACCAATACAGGGCTGAATCCTGTCTGTAGGTTTGATTAAATGAGACACCGTAGATGAATAAATTGGATGATGTAGGCATGAGAATCAGTTTTTTAAAGATTTGTGAATTAGAGTTTGTATCAAATTTAGCATACATTGAGTGTCTCAGAGGAGAGTGTTGAGAACTTGAGCCTGCATTATCCTCACCTCGAGTGCATGGAATCTGCTGACTTTACCTTTTGTACTGTCTCACCAGATCTTGTTACCTTCCTAGGAAAACAAAGTCACTACCTGTGCAGATGCGTATTTTGCTACCACTCCTGCCTAATAGAAGTTTTGGCAGGAAAGGAAAGTGGGAGGGAGTATTTGCAGTTCTAGGTGGAAGTTAGGAAGTGACCTGCATTGTTAAGAACAGATGGAAGTTCTTTGAAAAGGGGAGGAAAATCCTAATTTTCTGATTTGATCGTAAATGTTTTAACCTCAACCCAGACAGTAATGATCTATTTCGGGATAGCTTCTGATACTTTACTCATTTGTAGGCTCACAAACAGATCCCTTGTTGTGTAGTTGGATGTTTACTGATCTGGTAGTAGTTTCCGTTCACTGAATCTGATCCAGTTTTAACTGACCTGGGAATACAGTATGTTTGCTGCTGTAAGGATGTCACATATCCAAGTAGCTCACTTTGGGTTTAGATAATTTGATTTGCATTTGATACCAGCTCTGAAACCTTTTTCTGGAAAACAGAATTTGACATTTGTTGATTATGGACCTGGAAGTTGCCTGTTTGTGGTAGTTTATAGCTTTTTTTCTGTTTCATTAGGTGCTGCTATTGGTGCCGTAAATGGCCTGCGTCTGGGATTGAAAGAGACTCGAGATATGGCTTGGTCAAAACCCAGAAATGTTCAGTGAGTATCCGTTCATGTCAGACGGCTTGTCATCTGGTGATTTGTAACGAATAGGGAAGGCTGCAAGGGTGGTACTGTAGAATGTTTGGGTATCATTGATTTCGAAGATCATTATACTGTAAAGCTGACTTGGTACAGGCTGAAGTTGTGATATGTAGCAGAGATTTGAAATCCTCTTATTATTTTTCTCATGCTGAATGAATCACTGCTTAACAATCATCATTAAATTCAGAAATTGTTCTCAATGTTCCCAGATCAACTGCCTCCCTTTGTCCAATAGCTGGGATGATTGACTGCTTTGTGTACCTGCTCTATTAACCTGTTTAATCACTTGTGCCGTGCAGCATCCTTGACAAAAAAAGCAATCAGCCTATCCTACATGAAAGTGGTCTGTGCTGGCTTGAAAAGTGCCATTTTGGTGTCTAATTTCCTTCAAGTGCTGGAGAGAATTCTGTGTTTTTCAGGTTTCTGGTAGCAGCTGTAGAGTCAAGGATCTCCCTTGTAACCTATGGGGTGGGGGGGAAAGCCTTGCATTATTCACCCTCGATTTTTCTCTTTAAATTTGGACTATCTTTTGCAAAACAAAAATGAACAATTTCACAATTGATGCAATGAAAGGGATAGGATGGCTGTTAAGTTACCTTCAGCCACAAGGTGGTGATATTGATTTGATCAGCAAATGTAGACTGTTCTGGCTTTGTGCAGATAAAAACTTCTTGCATTGACTGCAAGAACGCATTGCACAAGCTGTGTGCAGTGATCATTTTGTTGGAGCATAGTCTGAATGCTACAGAGCAAAATTTTGTTTATCTGGCTTTTTTGCTGCAGCATGTCTTTCTTGATAAACCTGACCATATATGCACACTCATCCTCCTGTTCTTTTCTGCCTCCGCATAGTAATTTTGCAAATTTAAATTGCACAAATAGTTTTAAACTTAAAAAGGCAGGGGTCACGATTAGAAAGATGGCATATATCAATTTTTTTTTTTTTAAAACCTTTGCATATTGTATTTTATCCATGGATATCCTAGATGCTGCGGAGCTGTAGAATTACTTCATTGATGTAGTAACTACTTCACTCATAGCAAAATCTTTCAAATAACAATGAGATGTGGACATTTTAATATTAGTTAAAAGAGGAATGGTGGCCAGGCCAAAGGACGGACAGTAACTGCTCTTCAAGTAGTGATATGTTGGCCATAGCTGAATATCTCTTACTAAAAGACAACATTTTCATAGAGCAAAACAGTCATTAACAAACAGTATTATTCCAATTTGAGTGATGCAAATTGAGTTGAACACACTTTTGACTCTGAGGCCTGAGTGTGGAATTACAATAGATTTTCTATAATTTAACAAATGGGTTCCCATTCCTCAAGTGGTTTTGCTAATCCTGTAACATGATTTGAGTGTCTTATCAGCTGTGTGAAGTTAATGCTATTTTTCCACATTATAAAATAACTTGCATTTCATGTCAAATCAATACATGAGATGTTTAGCCTTGAGCGTCTAAACAATATTCTGGTTGAAGATTGAACTGAGGTCCTTCACACTGTGGCATGATGGTATCTCCACAATGTACATAACCAAGCAAAGTCCAGATTGCGCTTGCTTATATTACATTCTTTGAGATGGTTACATAATTCTCACTCTCCCATTCACCTTTCTCCCAAAAGGCTTGCAAATATTTCCTTTTCAAATGTATAATAAGATGTTCTTTTACTATTGAGTCTGCTCTGAAGCTAAAAAGGCAAGGAGTGATTTGCCTGTTTTCACTCTTAGCTTTGTGGCCTTCAGTACAAAATTATCCATGTATTGATGCTGTGATTCAAATTGAGAATAATAAACAAATGAGAAAGGAACAAATTAATTTTGAGATTTATTTTTGTTCAAATTGAAGGAAGTTGTGACAGGACTTGTTTTCACCCCTTTTCCATATGTTCTTGCAATGTTGTTGAATTAGCAGTTTCTTTATCAGTTAAATTTACATTTAATTGTTGACACAGTTAGCCACAAAGTATTTAAAGCATCCTTTAAAACTTAAAAATAAGTATACAGTATAATAAATGGGTTGGGGATTTACAGGTGCAGATTGCCATGTGGAAGTGAGATGATGATGATAGGAGGCCTGGCTTAAAGAAGGGCAAAATATTTCTGGGTACTAAGTGCTCAGAAAAGGTATCAAAGGACGGAATGGAGGAAGGTTAGCAGTATTGGTCAAGGAGGGCATTGCAGTCCTAGAGACAGGATAGTTGGTTCGAGAACAGAATCAATTTGGCCAGCACTAAGGAACCAAACGTGTGCAATTACATTTGCCGGAGTAGTTTATAGACCACTCACCTAGTGAGAAAGAAGTAGAGGAGCAATTCTGCAGGAAGTTAGAGGTGCCGGCATTATAAGAGGAGTCCTAATGGGGAAACTCTAATTACCCTAATATACACTGGGATACCAGTAGTCTAAGGGGCAATGAGGGGCAAGTTTTCCTAGGCTATAGTCAGGAGAATTTCCTAGCAGTGTGTCCAGTCTAACCAGAAAGGATGCGCTGTTGAACCTGGTTCTTGGAAATGAGGTGGGCCAAGTGGATCAATTGTCAGTGGGGACAACATTTTAGGAGATAACGATCATTGTATCAAGGTTTAGGATGATGGTGGAAAATGACATTGGTCAAACCAGAGTAAGAAAAATCAATAGGCAGAGAGCTGACTTCCATGGGGCAAGAATAGAGCAGAGCAGGATTGAGCAGGGCAGGATTGACTGGAGCAAAAGGTTGGTTGGGGGGAATCTGTAACTGAACAATGGGCTGCCCTCAAAGAGAAGGTAGCTTGGATACAGGCAGTACATTCCCAGGAAAGTGGGGGTGGTAATTGAACAAATTCAGAGTTCCTTGGATGACAAAGGAGATAGAAATGAAAATAAAGAAGGAAAAGTGTATAAAAGAGCATTCCAAAGTCTTCTACAGGAATGTAAATGTGTGAGAGGAGGAGTAGGATAAATTAGGGACCAAAAAGGGAATGGCATATGGAGGCAGGCAGCATGGTATCAGCTGGGCAACCATACCATTCAGGGTGCCACACTATTGGAAGGATTTGAATGCATTAGAGAGCATCCAAAAGAAATTCATAAGAATGGTTCCAGGCATGAGATCTTCAGTTATGAGGATTGAATTAAGACATTTTCAAAATCATGAAGTGGCTGGGTAGAATGGTTAAGTAAATACTATGCATCTGTGTTTACTGGGAAGGTAGATGCTACCCAGGCCGGGGTGATAGGGTGATGAAAATGGCATTTGGCACGCTTGCCTTCATTGGTCAGAGCATTGAGCACAAGAGTTGGGACATCATGTTACGGCTGTACCAGACATTGGTAAAGCCATACTTGGAGTACTGCGTACAATTCTGGTTGCCCTCCTATAGGTGCGAGGTTATTAAACTGGAAGAAAGTGCAAAAAAGATTTACAAGGATGATACTGAGACTGGAAGGCTTGAGTTATGAGGAATGGCTGGATAGTCTGGGACTTCTTTTCCCTGGAATATAGGAGGCTGAGGGGTAATCTTAAAATGGTTTATAAACCATTTTTGAGGGGCATGGATAAGGTGATTAGCACAAGGTCTTTTTCCCAGGATAGGGGTCTAAAACTAGAGGACTTTTGTTTAAGGTGAGAGGGGAAAGATTTTAAGAGACCTGAAGGGCATCGTTTTCATACAGAAGGTGTGCATTTATGGAACGAGCTGCCAGAGGCTTGGTAGAAGTCGGCACGATTACAAAGTTTAAAAGACATTTGGACAGATGCATGGATATGAAGGGTTTAGAGGAATGTGGGCCAGACACAGCAAATGTGACTAGTTCAGTTAAGGGAAACCTGGTTGGCATGGACCATTTGGGCCAAAGTCCTGTTTCTGTTGTATGACTCCAAGTCAGGAGTGTGATGGAATACTCCCTACTTGCTTGGGTGGGTGCAGCTCCAACAAAACTCAAAAACTTGGCATCATCCAGGATAAAGCAGCTTGCTTGATTGGTACCACATCCACTCCCTCCACCACTGATGCTCAGTAGCATCAGTGTATACAATCTACAAAATGCATTGTAGAAATTTGCCTTAGGTCCTTAGAAATAACCTTCCAAGCCCATGACTACTTCCACCTTGGACAACACGGGAGCACCACCAACTTTAAGTTCCCCTCCAAGTCACTCACTATCCTGACTTGGAAATATATTGCTGTTTCTTCACTGCTGGGTCAAACTTCTGGAATACTCTCCCTAAGGGTATTATGGTCAACCTACCACATGTGGACTGCAGCAGTTCAAAAAGGCAGTTCAACGTGCAGCATGTGGCTGCAGCAGTTCAAGAAGGCAGCTCACCACCACTTTCTCAAGGGCAACTAGAGATGTGCAACAAATGCTGACCCAGCCAGCAACCCTCACACCCCACAAATGAATTTTTTAAAAATACAGTAAACAGTTACTGGGAACATAGCAGGCTGCAGGGGACATCAACCAGTGCAATAGACAGACCCATGACTTAGAAACTCTAATGGGCACCATGATTTAGGGAACATGGCCTGAGACAGTGAAGAGGAGCTTATTCGAATTGTCCCGGTGATGAGGGGCCTGGAGATATTGAATTTGCTCTTACAGCAGAGTAAATCTAAATATGAGATTTAATAGATGTGCACAAAATTGAGAGCTTTGATATAGTAAATGTGAGAAAGCATCTCCGCAGACTTAAGTGTCAATATATAACATACTTTCTAACAAAATTTTGTAACTATGCTGTTTCACTTGGAGAGTTATATAATCTAGAATTCACTGAAAGGTGGTTGAATACAAATTCTGCTTATACACATTGGCAGGACTGTGGGGAAAGAGCAGGAGAGTGGGACTAATTGGATAGCAGTTCCAAAGAGCTGGCACAGACACAATGGATCTTCAGTGTTGTTTGATTCTGTGATTCACTGGAGAACAAAGGATAGATGTGCTGCACAGCCTAATTCCTACCACTAATGGCCTAAGAAAGAAACTGGGACTGTATCATATTGATATGCATCTAGCATATCAGTCTGAATAATTTGTACTTTTAGATTCTGACCTGGTGAGTCTATAAAAAAAGCCTTTTAACAATCTCAAAGGGCTACTCCTTTTCCCAATAGCCACAAAATGTTAATGGGCTACTACGTACCTAGAACAACAGATGATACACCCTGAAAATTTGTTTGCACAGCAGCCCTTAATGAATTTTTAATATTTGACATATTTCATGCTCAACTTGACATGGATTTCAAATTTGCCAGTTATAAATCACTTGTTTTTATATATGTTATATATACATCCTGCATATGCACTCTTCAAATGTTATTCTAGACTAAATCTGGTGTAGCTCCTGGCTGTCCATGAATCTTTTTTTTGCTGGCAATAGAGTCTAATTGCAATGTTAAGGTATCAATGGGTGGGTTCATTGTCAATGCACATCCTACCTAATCAGTAGTGCTGAAAGACACTACTGCAGACCACATCAAATAGCCAGAAAAAAAGGGAACGTTGCGTGCTTATAAAACCCACCCCTTCCCTCCCTAAACCCTAATCCCACTGTACTCAAAGCAGTCGCATGCAAGTTGACCTTTACATTCCCATACGAGATAATTCTTCAGGAGCAGCTGCACAATCTTCCTACTGACTGGAGCTGTGTAGACATCAGTGGCATCACTCACTTATCTACCATTTTTACATGGTATCGTACCAATATGCAATACACGCTTGTATCAAAATGCCTCTTGGACCATTGGAAATTGCCCCCACTGCCAAAGCTTCACCCTCACTGTGGAACTAATTCCCATAATTCCCAGTTTTGCCATTGTGTGGAATGGCATGTTCAGCTAGGCAGAGGGTAGTCAACTACGTGTGGAGAGCTAGGTCTTTTAGATCAGACCAAACATATGTATGAACTGGGGAGCAGGATTAGGCTGTTTGGATCCTCAGGCCAAGGCCTTGAATCCACTTGCTTCTCCACCAGTGCCTTTTAACACTCTTGTTAATCAAGAACCTATTTATTTCTGCCTTAAAATTATTCAATGACCCTGCTTTATCACTCTCTGGAGTAAGGAAGATCCACAAATGTAACCCTCTGATTTTCAAATTGTGTCTCCTGGTTCTAGTCTCTCTCTCAGCCTTTCAGTATTCACACTATCGAGTCTCCTCTGGTTCTTGCATGTTTGAATAGGATCACCTTTCATTCTTCTAAACTCTGAATACAGGCCCTACCTTTTTTGTGATCGGGTAAAGATGACACATTTCCTTCCCTAAAGGACATTAGTAAACCAGGTAGGTTCTTAAAGCAATTATTAGTTATCATAGTCACTGTTCCTGACACTAGTTGGATGTACCAGATTTATTAACTTACTTTAATTTTCACAAGTTGCCATGGTGGGATTTGAACCAATGCCCCCAAAGCATTTGCTTGGACTTCCTTAATTGGTCTTTTTCTAGCAACAGCTGAGAGATTAACTGATCGACCTTTAAAATCAATACTGTAGATGTAAACATGTTTTCACTCACAGGTGGAGTCCAAAACTAGGGCCAAAAATCTAAGCTAGTTACTAATAAATCCAATAAGGAATATACAAGAGAAATATCTTTAAACAGAGAGTACTTACTTCCACGTGGAGTAGTTGACGTGAATAGCAGAGATTTACTTAAGGGGAAGCTGTATTAAATAAATGAATGTGTTTTTAAAAAAAAAAGGATCTCTTCCAAAGAAGAGTCCTACCGTTAACTCTGTTCTTTCTCCACAGATGTTGCCAGACCTGCTGAGTGTTTCCCAGCACTCTCTTTTTTATTTCAGATTTCCAGACTGCTGTATTGGCTACTTTGTGGAAGGATGTGTTGTTGGAGCATGTTGAAATATGATAGGAGGAGATGTGAGTGGAGCATAAATACAGATCTCTTGGACCCACTGTTTCTTGTGTTCTCTGGTCTATTTCAAATCTCCTCCGACTCACTGTGAGCGCTGTCATGGGGGATCTGCTGTTAGTTGTTTTACAAATCTTGTGTATAGTGCGCAGTTACTGTTGCACTTAAAAATACTGTCATCCCATTTTTAAAACACCCTTTGGCTAAATTAGATGGAGCACAAGTAATGGCTCTGTATTCTTATGGAGTGTGTTAATACCATGAGTGTCAAAATGTGTTTGCTGTTTTTCTGAAAATTTGCCTCTTGCTCAATGAGTCCTGAAACCAAATATTGATGCTTACTCTCTAATTGTGCTCACTTCCTAGAATTTCTGAAACTTTGGAAGAAATGTAGTTTTTCTTTTCAAAGGTCATTTGGTTCTATGTCAGAGGGTTATCAGTGTTTGTGCAGCTGTTTCAATAAATGCAATATTGCACATTATTAGTGTGAATGAACTCATTGTAAGTCTCCATTTTGATATGTTTATCCTCATCTCAACACTGCTTCCCTCCCCACCCAGCTGCAAGGCTAATGAGATTAAACTCCATGCACATCGTTGCCTGGCTACTCCTGATTACCAATGTACTGGGAGGGAAAGAAAATTTCTAATAATCATCCCAGAGTTATGTACATCCAGGGTTGCTGCTAACTTAACAAAAATATCTTGATCAACTCTCAACAAACCTGATTTTTTTTGAGGTTTTTTATTTGAACCTCTGAGCATCTTCCCAGTTAATAACACAAATCCATGCTTCTGGTTTGTGGTGTTGTGCAGTAATCCTGAAAGAGCAAATCAGTGTGCATGAAATGCCATTTTGGGAAGTGCAAGTAGATGCTGAAGAAAGTGCTTGCTCTGGCAGACAAAAAAGGCTACTTTCAGTTCCTTTGGAGTTGATACTAATTCTCACTAGAAACAACTGCAATGGTTTGGCTTTGGGGATTCGGAAACTGAATTAGTGCAGAGTTTGCATTGTATTTCATTTGTTTACTTGGTGCTTTGCATTTAACTAGCTACTATGGAAAATAAATGGTTTTATTGATTGTAGGTCCTGGCGATTGCACTTTCATAAATTAGCAAATTTCTTGCATATCAAACACTTGAATTGCATCACTTTTGTTTAAGTAAATATGCTTAATAATTTTCAGCGTTTTTAAGTTATTCTGAGATAGGTACCTGCTACTGAATTTGCTGTTCTGTGTATTAGGGGGAGGGGAGCAAAGAGAGAGAGAGTGAGTTAAGGGTTGTTCACTCTGGAGAATGCCTTTGTAGGCTGGTTGTCTTAATTTCATGTTCCTATTGAGCTATTGAGAATTGTTGATTGTAATCAGGAGTGCAGGAGATTGATCCCAGCCAGCTTGTTCTTTTTGTGATCAAGCTGAACTGAGCTCCCCACCATTTCCTTCCATCCCCAGAATCATATTTAGCTGCCTCTTGAACCCAGTTTTAATGTTCACTTCAATAATGTTCTTGAGCGACAGATACACAAAATAAGTATCTTGTATAAAATGTCTCCCTAAAAACACCTAATTTTTGAAGTAGTTCTTCACCTCTTTATTGACCTGCTCTGTATGTATCTGCTTTATTAAATGCTGTACCAAAACTCCCATTGACAGTATAGAAGTTTACTATGGTCAGTTTAGAGTGTTCCACCTTATTATTGGCCAAAACATTGAACGTTTTCAAGGAGTTGGATTCAATTCTTGAGATTAAATGGATCAAAGGGTATGGGGAAAATGTAGGATCAGGGTACTGAGTTTGATGATCTTAATGAATGGTGGAGTAGGTTTGAAGGGCTGAATGGCCTAGTCTTATTTTCATTTTTTTTAATCAGGCTAATGATTGCTAGAAGTTTACAACTGACTTTAGAACTGTTTTGAAATTTCTGTCCAGGAAACCTTTTAATATGTGGCTGGTTTATCGTTTTATGGGTACAGACATTCGTGTTACATTATTTCTTCAGTGAATTATGATGTCAGGATCCAGCTCTTCATAAGCTCTGCTGTATTAGCCTTGAGCTCCACTGACACCCCATGTTCCAGCACATTCATATCAAAATTTCCATCCCTCCCTCCCTCAGTCTTGCCTTATCTTTTCTCCCCACTGTATGTTCTGCTTTTCCCTCACTCTGGCAGTCATATCACTTTCAAGTTCTTACCTTCCCAAATCCGTGCCATAATTCCATATCTTTAGGAACTACAAAAGCTAATTCTGATTACGGCTCCAGTTACCTCCCTAAATTGTTCCCCTCAGCTATGCCGGCCATTTTAAGGGTGATTTATAGAAGTTCAGTTGGAAAAAGAAAATAAATATGCACACTTAAAGTTTGTTTGTCCATTTAAAGCTCTCAAACTAAAATGTCATCTTTTGCAGAATCCTGAATATGGTCACAAGACAGGGAGCTCTATGGGCCAACACACTCGGTTCCTTGGGTAAGTGACTAGTTATTACAGACGTTGTGTGAACTATTCTGAAAATTGCTTTGTAATTCTTAATAATTCTGTGCACTTGGGGTGCAAAATAAACAATGGCAAGGGAATACACAAATTTCAGATATTGAGAAGTATAGAGGAACAGAGAGACATTGGAGTGCGTATCCTCAGATCCCTAAAGATAGCAGGACAAGTAGATAAGGTGGCATACAGGATCTTTTTTCTTTATTAGCATTGAATATAAGAACATGGAAGTTACACTAGCACTGTGTGGAATATTGGGTAGTCTCCAACTAGAGTACAGCCTGGTCATTGCTTTACAAGAACAACATGATCACATCAGAAAGGTGTTACAGACGATTTGAGTTTTACAGGCATGTTACCAGGAATGGAGAATTTTGACTGAGGAAATATTGGGTGGGCTGGGATTATTTCTTTGGACTAGCAGAATCTGAGAGGAGATTTCATCGAGGTGTTTAAAATTCATGATGGTGATTGAGAAATATTTTCACCCAGAGAATGGTGGTAGGGCTGATTTACTGTCTACCTGACTTTATTTTTTTAAAAAAAAAGCAAAACTGCACATGCTTGAAGTGAGAAACAACATCAGAAATTGCTGGAAAACCTCAGCAGGCCTGGCAGCATCTGTGAAGAGAAAGCAGAGTTAACATTTCGGGTCCAGTGACCCTTCTTCAGAACAGTTCTGAAGAAATGTCACTGGACCTGAAGCGTTTACTCTGCTTTTTCTTCACAGATGTTGTCAGACTTGCTGAGATTTTCCAGCAATTTCTGATTTTTATATCTGACTTTATACTCTGGACTCGGGATTTCAGGATGTGGACGACACTGGCAAAGTTAGTTTCTGTTCTACGTTTGAGCATGTAGTACTGGACCATTTGAGGCCAGTTAAGAATGAACCATGGTGTAGGAGTTTCTTGTGTATATAGGCAAGACCAGTTCAGACCACATTTCCTTTCCTAAAGGACATTGGAGAATGAGTTGTATTGTTAAGGGCAATCTGGCAACATTATGGTAACTTTTCCTGATCAGTTTTCTCATTCCCTGTGTTTCTTGTTTTATTTGAAGCTGAGATTGAATGTCAAATTGAAATTAGACCTTCAAGACTTTAGTATCATGCTATGTCCTAGAGTTATTTCTTTGAATTCATAAGTCCTGCCCACTGGATTGTTAGTCACCACCATAATTATTACACTGCTGTCCCTGCATATAATAGTGTATATGCTTCATGTTTACATATCTGTATGTGCATTCATGACTGTGCTGTGTGCTGGACTCCAAGTTTCAGTGGCATCTTTATTTGTATACGGCTGAGGCACTTACACCTGACTGTTCTGCTGCAGCTCTCTTGTACAGCACGTTTGGTGTTGTCATCGAAAAGGTTCGGGGTGCAGAGGATGATCTGAACACAGTAGCAGCAGGATCCTTGACTGGCCTACTGTATAAATCTACAGGTAAACAAGCTTTGATATCAAGGGTCTCAACAATCTGGGCTCAGCTTGCTGATTGGAGTTATTTTGGTTGGTTAACACCCCAAAACTTTGACAGAATTGGAGCTATGCTTGTATGTGTTGGAAGAAAGGCAACATGTTTGCCAGTTTGTGGAAGACAGCTACTTCCCAAATCTGCAACTTGTTACAGCTTGTTTTGCAAATCTGCAACTTGTTTTGGTTTGAAAAATAACATTATTTTAGAATTCTTATTTGGTAAAAAGAAACAATGAAAGATCCTTTTTATAGTGTTGACAGCAAGAAGCTCAAATCTCATTGTTCATTGATTCCCTTTGCATGCCTTCATGCCTGTCTTAACATTCTATATGTATTGTGTAACATTTATCTGGTAATGCTGAGCTATTCTGTTTAGGTGGCTATTTGTAAAGAAGCAATAAAATGTATATAATCATTAACTGATCAACGTCATAGATGAAGTGAACCTTTTTAATTCCAGGAAATGTATTAGTTTTGCAGGATCCTTTCCCATGAGGAGCAATCTGATAGCATTCATGTTTGAATGAGGTACTTATTGAGATGTGAAGGAGTCTGGCAGAACTTGATCTTGGGTCCCATATGGGCAGTATTTACATGGATATGCACCCAGTGGGAAATTTTGATTCATACCTCAGGCTCTCAATCAGGTTCCTTGTAGGGCTGCCTTCCAACAGGTGGTTGTGATAAAGCTTTCTGATAGAATGAAAAACAAAAATGAATTTTAGCAAATCTCTTCTTCGATATGATAGAAAGTACTTTGGTATTACGTAGAGCTGGAGAAATACTTGACTGTTTTCCTAGGCTCCCTAGTCGGATAGTGTCATGACCATGTTAAACAAGACTGAGCAGGAAGTCAGCAGGTTCAGTGCTTTCTCTAGTCTGTGCTCGGTTGGCTGATCTCGGCCAGTGTGGCAAAGCAGTTGCATAATTTTGGGATAGATCAGAATGAGATAGGGTTGCTGCTCCTGGTCAATATCCAGTCAACCCTACTGTGGTTTGTTTGCATGACTGTTGAGGGGAGCACTGAGTTTAGATGTGTTGTGCTAGTGTGCTACCAACTGTCAGATGAACTCCACTATTTCTTATGGTGCAAGGATAATTGTTGTGTTATTTGACAGACTGTACACAGCTGTCTATCTCACCCCAAGGCAAGCTGCTGACCTTGCTAGCTGAGCTATCAACAGAGCGACTATATGCACACACAGGCTTATTTGTGACTGATTACATATCAGCAATGGGCACAGTGAGAGGGGCCAAAATTGAGGATGTATTCTTTTCTGTTGATATTAAAATATGTTTTGACCTTTTTGTTCCTGGATGTTTATGACACCATAGATGTACAAATATAGAGATCATGAGTGGATTACATTGTGATCCTGTTTTAAGAACTTGCCAATTGCCCTAAATGTTTCTGTGCCTTGGCTTCTTTTGAGGTAATTTTCTTCCATTGGAAAATGACTGCATCCACCCCCATCCATCCAATCTCAAGTTTCCCCCCCCCCCCCCAGTTTTCAGTCTTCCTCCTTTTTTGCCAAGAAGGTTCTCAGCTTTTACTTAAATAATTTGCCCTGTGTATCTGAGGTGGTACCATTGTATGTGACTGTCATTATGCTGTTCTCCTGTGGAAGCATCACAGTGGGCCCTGTGCTCATCTGCCATTTTCATGTATACTCCTTGCAGAGGTTCCTGGCTGGTGATAGTCATCCTGGCTGAACCGTGTTACCTTTATGAAAATGAAGGGGGTGTGATCAGAGTACAGCAGAACCAGTCATCCTTCCTGCAGTGCAGCCAAGGAAGGAGTGAGGAGTGGTTGCTCCAGCAGACTGGATGAGTGTTTGCTTGTGATAATCCCTCTGATAAAGTAAGTCCCAGGTGTTGATCTGGTGGGTGGAGGGCTTGAAGGAACATTACCCTGGGTCTAACCTCCACACCTGCAAGCCTAATGACAAGTATTCTTTGCACCAAAGCTTCAGCTGAGACTGTTTTAAATGTGAAAAAGTAGAATCTTAGTATGTTGTAGCAAAGTAACTGTATTCAGTTTGTTGAAGGGGCAATGGTTTGGGTGCACTCAGTAGAAACGTGACCCCCTATCACTAAGGTGTAGGGTGTTGCTTTGACTGCCGTTGACAGCTGGAACTGAAACCAGTGGATGTGCTGAGCCAGGAGCTGTGCTGTCCAGGGTCAGTGCAGTTTGTTCCTGTTTGGTTTTTGCCCACGTGGTAGGGGAATCAGTTCAGTGACTTGCTAGAGAATGCTGGATGCTAGTTACACAAAGTGAGAACGTGCAACAGAAATCGTCGGTGATAATCACTTGGCTTGATCTTGTATGTGAGATAAATGTTACTGTTGACTAGCAGACTGAAGAAGGATGAAAAATAGAATGGACTAGGAAGGCTACAGCACAGAAAGAGGCCATTTGCTTATCAAGTCTCCTATTATTCTAACAAGTTAAAAGAAGAAATGTAATTTTTTTCACTGTATCCTTCAGTACAGTAAATCCACTATCTGCAAAATCTCAAATCTCAAATTCACCTATCTGCACCAAAAAATAAGTAGTAAAAAAAAAAAAACTTCCATGGGCAAAAGTTGCATGTCCGTGATGTTTTTAACCATTTTTAACGAGCTCCGCACTCACTAATTTAATCATTCACAAAGGTTCTCAGGAATGGAACCCTCGTGGATATGGAGGAATGACTGTTTCGGAAACCAAATGCTTTCACATTGGGGCAGTGACGTGACTCTGGAAACCCTGTTCTCAGCCAGCCAATCTTGTGTTTATATAAAACTGCTAAAGATACAATTAAAGATTAGAGGATCTCTATCCAGTTTTGATGGGGAGACTCCCACTTACAAGGTAGCATGCTTCATCCCAATCCATGTAAAATTACATCGACAGAAGGAGCCCAATTCTTGGGTGTACCCTAAAGTTGTGTGCATATGTCTGTTGAGTTCAGACATAATGGTTGATGAGCATTTAGTGAAGAGTGCACCAAGCAGGTCCAAGATCCAGAGCTGCTGGCCATAAATAATTCACTGGGATGGTGAAGTTGTATCTCAGACTAGTGCTTCTCACTGCAGTTTATTTATCCCCAGAGCGCATATTGATGCAAAAAGCCCAGTCCAAGGGGAAATTGCTGTCCTACTTGGAAGAGCAAGAGGAAATTTAGATGCCATTGGTGACCTGTGACAGGCTAGATTCCCTACTTGGTAAAAGACCCACATAAAGACACTATCTGCTGACCCCCTGTTACACTTCACCAAATGAGATCATTTGCAAATTTCTTGTGGCTACCCCAGGATTCTCCCAGGTATACCTAGCAAGAGTTATCATCCAAGCTAGCACCACTTCAGAATCTGATTCATAGAACCTGTTCAGTAAAGTTCTGAGATAACAAAGTGTAGAGCTGGATGAACACAGCAGGCCAAGCAGCATCAGAGGAGCAGGAAGGCTGACATTTCGGGCCTAGACCTTTCTTCAGAAATCTGAGTAAAGTTCTCTCATTCCTGTTGTGCCATGAAAGCTCTTCAGAGACACAATGGATAATGTAGACCAGTAAGTACAGTCTAGAAACCATTGAACGATGGCTCAGTTGTTGGATGTTCAGTGTTGCAGGTTGATTGTACAGTCCGTTCCAATTTGAAATTACTGCAACTGTTAGTTTTGTTGGTGTGGAGCTGAATGTGATACTGCTGTTCAGTGAACGTACTCTTGACCTTTTGGGCAATGTGTATTGCTACAATGTAATATTAGCTGCTCAGAATCTCTGACTGGGCTGTCAAGATGGTCCGCTTGGAGGTGTGGCAAGGTAGCTGAAATATTATCAATGCAAGGCACCTGCATTGAGGCTGCTGTTAATGCTGTCGGTGATGATAGCTGCTGGACTTTACCTGGTTCATCATGGTTCTGTTATATCTCCAGCATAATCTAATGTTATTTGAATGAGTTGTGCCTGCAGAAAGAGAAACAAAGCAAATGTAAATGTAATTTCTATTTCATATACTTTGCTTGTCTTTAAATTGTTCAGAAATGGTTGTTATCTTGTATGTGATGGCAGTGTACATATTTTGGTTGCTGGTGTTTGTGCTTTGAATTCTAGTGTGCATGACATTTAAATAGATCAAGTTGATCAACACGGTCCTTATTGTGCATTGTGTAATGTTTACTGGTTCTGCATTTGTCGTCATTTTGGTTATTTAAACAGTTTTGGAGGTGAGAGTTGGGTTCCATAACTTCATCTAGCCTCTCGTGGAGCCTTGTTGGAAAGGCTTCCTCTGGATCAGTTAATGGCCCTGGTATAGCAGCGTACCTCCAAGAATACTGAAAATAGTGCAGTCTTGGCTGTAGAACTGAATTGGATATTGTGCCTGCTATGTTTTTTAACCTCACTGGAAACTCTGAAATTAAACTGATCTCCACTTCCTTTTGCAAGTTAAAACATGTATTTTAAACTGTCAGACTGACTCAGCCCATGTCCATCTCCAACACATTTTGATTCCCCCTGCCTTTCACCCAACTCCTAATAGGTGCAAGGGTGAATTAAATGTGTAGTATTATTGCCTCAGTTCATGTTGTATGTCAGAGAAGGTGCTGGGGAAGCTGAAAGGTCTGCAAGTGGATAAATCAGCCAGACCAGATGGACTACGCCCCAGCGGTCTGAAGGAGATAGTTGAGGAGATTGTGGAGACATTGGTGATTATTCAGGAATCACTGGAGTCAGGCAGGGTCTCAGGATTAGAAAATGGCTAATGTAGCACTCCTGTTTACAAAGGGAGAAAGCAGAAGATAGAAAATTATAGGCAGGTTAGCCTGACCTTGGTAAGATTTGGGAATCCATTATTAAGGATAAGATTGCAGAGTACTTGGAAGTGTATAGTAAAACAAAGCTGAGTCAGCATGGCTTTGTCAAAGGGAGGTCATACCTGACAAATCTGTTAGAATTCTTTGATGAAGTAACGAGCAAGTTTGACAAAGGAGAATCATAGATCTGTTTAGATTTCCAGAAGGTGTTTGACAAGGTTCTGAACAGGAGGCTGCTAAATAAGATAAGAGCCCATGATGTTAGGGGCAAGGCAGTGGCATGGATAGAGGATTGATTGACTGGAAGAAGGCAGAAAATGGAGATAGAGATCTTTTTCAGGATGGCAGCCGATGACAAGTGGAGGTTTCGCAGGGGTCATGTTATACTTTAATGACCTGGATGAAGGAACCGAGGACATTGTTGCTACGTTTCCAGATGGCATGGAGGAGAGACAGATAGTGTTGAGGTGACAGGCAGGCTGCAGAAGGACTTGGAAAGGCTAGTTGAGTGGGCAAAGAAGTGGCAGTGCGGGAAAGTGTGAGGTTAGGTACTTTGGTAGGAAGAATAGAGGCTTAGACTATTTTCTAAATGGGTGGAAATCTGAAGCACAAAGGGACTTGGGAGTTGTAGTTCAGGGTTCTCACGGCTAACATGCAGTTTAATTGACAGGAAGGCAAATGCCATATTAGCATTCATTTTTGAGAGGGCTAGTATACAAGAGCAGGGATATAGTGCTGAGGCTTGATTAGGCTGTGGTCTGACTTCATTTGGAATATTGTGAGCAATTTTTGGCTGCAAATCTAAGGAAGGATGTGCTGGCCTTGGAGTGGATCCAGAGGGGATTGCAAGAATGATCCCAGGAGGAAGGGCTTGTCATTTGAGGAATGGTCAAGGACTGTGTCTGTACTTTGTGGAGTTTAGAAGAATGAGGTGCAGGATCTCATGGAAATTTACCGAGAGGCCTGGAGAGAGTGGGTGCAGAGATGATGTTTCCACTAGTAGGAGTAACTAGGATCTGAGGGCACAGCCTTAGTGAAGGGACAACCTTTAGAACTGAGATGAGGAATTTCTTCAGCCAGAGGGTATTGAATCTTTGGAACTCATTATTACCAAGGCTGTAGAGGCAAAGACCATGTGTAGAACAAAAGACCAGCTGGTGTGTCAAACCCTAATTTTGAAAGAAATAGGAGCATTAGTTATTGTAAACATGGGCATTCCCACTGGATACAATTTTATTAAGGTTTGGCATTTGACAAATTACTCTGTAAACATGCAGATTTTTTTAAAAAAATCCATTCTTTATGTTTGATGCTCACTGAAGAAGAGATACTCCAGTGACATTCTCTGCCCAAAAGCAGATCCTTGGTGAATTATGGCAAAGTGCAGTGATTTCTTTACTGAAGGTAGGGTGGGCAGTCTACCTCATCTGGAATGAGCACACTAGCTGTATTGACAGTTGATCTAATAACAGGTTCCTTACATGTGAAATCATTGACATAATGTACTGGAGTTCTGTTGAAAGCAGTGTGACTCATCAGTAAGAGAGAAACTGCCGATGCTGGAGTCAGAGATAAGTGTGGAGCTGGAGGAGCAGGAAAGTTGACGTTTTGGATTGGGACCCTTCTACAGGGGGAAAAGCAACTCATCAGTACTTTTGCTTTCAGTGTAACTTTTTTTCCCCTCTTTGCCTTTAGCTGGACTTCGTGGGGCAGCACGGGGAGGATTTGCTGGCTTTGTGCTGACTGGACTGTACGCTCTCTACAACAACTGGGACCACTTAAAGGGTGTGTCAGTGCGGCATTCCCTCTGAGGCTGCAGGGTGGGAAGAACCATCAGGAGCATTTGAATAGGTGTGTTACAGTGAATGAGACCTGAACCCAGAGTGCAACTGATTTAAAGATCTTAACTATTAGTTTATCCATAAATTTGATGATTTGAAGATCACTTGCAGATATTGAGTGGAAGGTGACATTGCAGTGCTGGCTGATACCAGTCTTACTGAGACATCGGTCCAAGATGAGCAGTGTCAACAGAGGTGAGAAATGCTTTTGGTTGCAGGTCTGAGACCAGCAGCAATTCTAATTCTGATGGACCAGTGCAAAATAATCTGATAGAGCAGTTGGTAACTAATCAGCCAGATTTTCCATTGGTAGGAACTGACTGCTGCAGCAACATTAAGGAGTAATGCAGTCAAAGTTTGAATTGGATTCCACGGACCATTTCTACAAAACAATTCGGCTAACTTTTTTTCTCAATTCTGCAAATCTAAGCTCGCAAGTGCAATAATGTTCTATGGGCTGTTCTTGCTATCTATTGTAAGTCCACTTCCACACAAGTGTACATCAAGTCTGTTGATCCTTGTACAACCTCCTGGATTGGGCAAAGTTACTCACTCATTGTTCTCTAATGCAACAAAAAAAAACTTTTACTTTTTAACTGATCTAGCAAATAACTGTGTCAAAGGAATTGATCAGATGCACTGAATGATTTCTTCTCATTCCCTGTGTTCTGTAGCACGCTTGAGAATTAAATGGTTAACCTCATTTGTACAATTAAATCCAGCAATTCCCCTGGATTGTTTTATACAATGGTCAGTGTTTATGATTGTGTTCTGAGGATTGGCAAGGAAGGGGGAGTTGCTGGTCTTGACCTCCTTGTTTAATTTGCGATCATCACTTGTCACCACGATCAAGTTTTTTTTCCACCAAAAATGAAAAAATCTCAAGCTGCTAACTGTTTTACTGACATCCTTCCATATAGAGTTGAGTTCTGATAAGTAATTGTGTGTGTGTGTGGACTTGAAGAAAATAATAAACTTGTGAATGGAGGTATAAGAACCAAAAATGAAGAGTTGAGAATAAGAAAATTACTGGCCTAATGCAGATGAAGCCTCACAGCTGGCGTGTGCTATGCGAGTGTTTCGCTTTATGGGAACTGTGGATACAGAAAGAACACTGATGCTCTGAATGCTACCTGTTATTTAGGTGGAACCATACAACCCTTTAACCATGTCCTGTTTTTATGAAGTTTTGTCTTTTTGAAGTTGTTCTAAAAGAAGAATCTGGACAAGCACAGCACAGAATAAAGACATGCTATTTATTGTTTAATAAATTGTTCTTTTTTTGGCAGACATTTGAGCTTAATAAAAGCCTTGTGTTTAGAGGGTTCAAAGAATTACGTTAAGTACATGTTATATTAGTGGCAGATATTGTCAGCAGGATTCCACAAAAATAGTAAATTAAACTAAAGTTTGTTTGAGATGGACTGTTGGGAAAATGTTAAATGTCAACAGGATTAACATCTTGTGCCTAGACCATAAGTTCTAAGTGTTACAATCCCATGATATGATTTGTCTGGTAATTACCAATCACATCCCAGACTGAGATCTAGCTTGATTTTTGTAATAAACCAAACCATACATGCAACAAACTTAAACTTCAAAAAGCTTTTCTTAAAATAAACAGTACTCTTGATCATGTCTAGAGAATTGGCAAGAAGTGGTAAGCCTCTTCAGGTTTCTATAAAAACACTTTGGTCTGAGAATCCTTAAATCAAATCTAATCTTCTCCCTTTCTCAGGAGCAGCAATTCTACCCATCAATCTTCAGCTAAGAGCTCTGGAGAGCTTTGTCTACATCATAAAAGTCCAGAATCTTCCCTGAGGCCACAGAACTACACTCTGTACTTAGTCTGAACAAACAAAAACCCATTTGTTCTTGTAAGCTGTGTTTTTAACAAATCACTATGGTTACATAAATACTTGCAAGTTAATCATTACATCTCTTTTGAACTAGTGGTTCAAAAATCCAAACTGGGTCAACCCACACGTGTACTCCAGCAGTTTGGGTATCTGGCATAATCACTAATGAGCTGGTCATTAATCTTGGAGAAAATCATTTTTACAGGATCATGATGCCTAGGCTTATCTATGAAAGTAACTATTTTGCCAAGCATATTGGGAAGCTACACCCAGACCAGTACCTGTTGAATCTAAACACCAAAGATTTAGAATGAAATAGCTGAGCATTCTGGATCTTTAAGTTGAGGCCACAATGAGCAGATGGAAACCAGTTATTTAACAGAACCTAGGCTCAAACTACCAAAATAAATGCCACTAAGTAGAAAGACACTGTGCACAGGTTTCTGAAATGCTGCTTAAGTGTTGACACCAAGGTTACAAATAATCAATAATATGCATACAGATGTGAGGGGTACAGTTTAGACTTCCCTTCCTTTAGCCCTGAAATGACAGCAAATGATTACACAGCCATCACTACTAGCTGCAGGAAACTGCCAGCATTGACCTTGCAACCATCAATCCAAGGGCAACTTCAATAGAAAAATACAAAGCTATAGAGGGAGTTAGAGATCACATCACCATGAACCTGCAAGGAATTTTTTTTTTTTTCTTGATTTATTTTGTGATAGTGAGAGCCATCAGGTGACTCAATTTAAAAATAAATTGAAGAATTTATTCCATTCTAAAACTGTGCCTATTTATGTATTCTTTGGTATTAATTTCAGGAGGAGAAGTATTCAAAAGTCTTCAGAACTGTAGCAGCTTTAACTTTCAGCTTATATGCACAATTAGTCAATTATGTTTCAAATCTGTTCACAGCTGGAATTAATGTTATGAACCCCATCATTGTTGGGAGTAAAGTATACACTCCAACAGATGCATGGTAAAGTCAAGGAGTGGAGAGAGGACAGGAGCCTGTCTGTGAGCAATAAGCTGCAAAGAAAACTGACCTGTATAATGTATCCAAAAATTACAAACAAGACCACTTAGGTTTTGCTGCAATTTATTGAGATGATTACATACTTTTAAAGATCAACCGGAAACAAATGTCTTGGTAAGTTTTTAAAATTCATAAAGGAAGAATATAATTTAGTTCAGTCACTTCTGTTTGTAATCAAAAGTAAATAGAAGGACTGGTGACTACAATGAAATAGTTTGTAATAAAGAGCTTATATGGGTTCGTGTTGCACCAGAAGGATGACATAACCCTCTAAAGCACATATACACCACCATACTTCAAAAGACTTGAGGTTGGGTTATTAATCATACAATTGTTAAAACAGATTAAATCCTCAAACAATTTGACCAAAGAACAGAACAAAAAGAGTTTATTCCTTTAAATTCAAATTAGCATTATTTGTAGATATCAATTAAAAGATATAAAATGCTGTGTGCTAAGGACACGCACTCACTGGAGTGAAGTGGCTGCAACCTGTATATATAGTGACAGGGCAGTAATCTCAACACCTTTGGGTAACTGCCATCCATCTGTCCTTCAGCTCTACAGGATGCTGGCAGATCCAACCACAAACCCATCTGAAGAATCCCGATTCAAAACATTCACCAGGACGAGACTGAAGGGGTCACAAATTGAGCGGCAACAGAATGACCCATCAGTAGCTGGCCCAATGCCTTCTTTCAGTTAGTGAAAGTGACAAGAGAATATCACTGCAACTGGCAGCTTTCCACATGCACTTCATATTGCTAGATCTTTCTCCTCCCTTCCATGGTCAATTACTTAAAAATAACAAGCATTTAATCCAAAACATCCATTAAAATAAATTCTAGGAATCACTAATAAAATTTGTAAATTTTATATTTCAATTGCTGTATTGTAACAGCCAATATCTTTAAACATCATCCCCTGGATTAAGGATCAACTGATATACTTTCAAATGAATCATCCCATTAGGGTCAATAGTCATATGATCAGAATTTCAGTTAAAGATTAAACTAAAAAGGTGAACAATAAAACAAGTGAGATGGATTATCAAACACCCCAGGAAAATTAAAAAAGAGGAATTTTGAATTCAGTTATAATCACTGTATACTTGTACACAATATTTAAACTTCTAACAACTGATTGCTGTGTTGCAGCAGCCCCTTTTGAAATTCAATTTCTGTTGGCAAGGAAATCAAATCCTGAAACATGTGAATTGAAGTTTCCCTATATCAAGAGATCCAAAAGTAAAATCTGTTCCAAACCATAACAACGGCATATTAACAGTACAAGGTAAACTGGTATAGGGGAATGCCAATCACCTCCAACCTGCCAACTCGCAGCTTCAACACAAATGGACAAGATTCAGAACAATGAACAGTGTACTAACTTGCTGTGAAACGGGTTTATCATCTCACAGCAGATTTTGAGGTTCAGTCACTGGCCCGGATTATCTCTTATGATCAAAAAGTGTTTGGCTATATTTGCAGACTAAGAGACAGCTGGTACCTCGCTCAGCAATTTTATACTTGGCCTGTCAACATAAAGACTGATGTGCTCCCAATGTTCCGCCATGAACATTTACTGTGTCTACTCAAATGCCTAGTTTATAGCAAGGCCATCACATATACTCTTCCAAGTATTAGATAATAGCAAACATTGCTAAAGGCATCCAAGAGTAGATCATTAATACACCAATCTCATCCTCTTGCATTCTAGACTGCTTGCAACCAAGTATAGTTAGCATCACAGCCAATCAAATTCACAAGAGAGCCCTGAATACAAAGTTAATTAATGCAGTAGGTTAGACCACATAACAGCATTGTGCACCATGCCCCACGGGTCTCAGCAGTAGAATAAGCTACATATCAAAGTTGAAAATGACAACTTTTCTAAGTGGGATGGGTGTGGGGTTGGAGGAAGAGAGGAAAACACTGATCCGATTACAGTGACTTCCCTACCATGCTGTCTACACCCAGTTTCACAGGACAACTCACACACAAAAAGAATTTAAACACAGTAGTCTTCAAGGCAGAAGCAAGAATTTGATTGAGCAGAATCTCAGAGGGAGTAAGTGCGAGTCTGATGTGGTTCCAAAGGTAGGTCAGCCAATTCATCTTTAGCACTGGTGGCTCAAAGCTACAAAGAAAGAGAAGATACATTTAATATCAAACGGCAAAATAATATCATTCATCAGATGCAAGGTCTGTGGGTACTTCAGGAGGAAAAAAAAAAATTAGCATCTTTGCTTCATATGAACAGCTCTAAACCCCAGTGGAAAATTTCTGGGTAAGTGCTCAATTCAAACTAAGAACAAGGCCATTGTTGCCACGGTAACTGACATTAAACAGGGAAGCAGAGGCTGAAGAGAAACTTGTTGGGGTGTGGCTGTTTGTAGCTTGAAAATTAGATGCCACACCCAATTCAGAAGAATTTCTGTGTAGAACTGATTAATGACTCAAAAGCAAATTTGGTGACCATCGATTAACCTGCAGAATGCCAGATAACTCCTCCAGAGGAGAGGTACTTGAGTAATCTCTCAGTGGAACTGGTGTGTAGACCAATAAGTATAAAAACAGCAAGTCATATCAGCTTACAGAAACAAAAATGCAAATCAGATTTACTGATCACGTCCCATCTCTTGATGCTGGCTTTATAGATAGGGAAATGTGCAGAGTAGACAAATTTGACTAATTCACAATCTTTAGTGCAAGATGAGCATTTATAATCACCTTCAGCTGAAAAAAAATGATTGGGTGCGCTATTTAGGCATAAACTGGAGACAGATTTTTATGCAACACGCAGTTGACCCCAATGTTTTCCATTTATTTACATGCTTGACACCCCACTTCAGAGAAATGTTCACACAACTTAAGTACACAAATCTCTGCAATCTCTGTACTGGCTGTTAAAGAAGTGACTGAACAACACTAATGCCTAACCTAATCTTTGACTACGTGAAAACAAACTCTTAGCATCAGTGGATTGCTGAAATTGGTCACAATGGTGAATTTGCCACAAAAAAAAGTGCATCTTACCACACAATATCCCAAAGTTAGGAAAAAAAAACCAAGAAAGTGTATAAAATGGTCAAAATGCAAATCCCCTACCTTCTGCTTCGATACCAGAGAAACACATGACTGTCATTGCAGAAGACTAAAGAGTCACGTGTAGCCTGCTTCTTAAAACTTGTATTACTGAGAAATGCTGTGTTACTAACCTAATTTGAGGGCTCTTGTCCAATCACTTCTGATCAACAGACTCCACTGATCTTTGGGATATAGGCTCCCTGTGGTCCTTGTTCAATCTACATTAGACAGAAATCATTAGACAGGGCACTAAGTACAAGCATATGTCCAACAGGCTGTCAAACCAGCCTACCATTCGGTTTGTGGTTATAAATCTCAACTGATTTATTCAACCTGGCTTTATAACCCTTCAAGTTCTCAAACGAAAACCTTCAAACTAAATTTTTTTTTTTTTTTTTTTTTTAAAACTGCACAATTGAGATATTTTCTTTCAAAGTGCTGGACTGAGTTCCTTTATTTGACAGTACATAACAATGCTCTTCATTGCTGTTACATGCAGTCAACGCGTAAACTCAACTGTGACCAATTCCAGCCTTCCTCAGCCATTCCCAAACAGACAATGCAGCAGGGCATCAAAATCTGTACTATAATGATATACCTGGGGATGTGGGGGAATGCTTCCATAGTTGCAGTCTACACATTACTGAAGTGCCCTCCCCCACCTGTTCAAATCTCAATACTGACCCGACGTGGACCTTTGTACAGCCATTTCTCAGGGTCAAATGGTTCCTTAAAGTGAGCAAACAGGTTGCCAAACGACATGGATTGCTCCTACATGAGAAGGAAAAAAAAAAAGGATCAGAGATTTGACAACAGCTAGAAAGAAACGAAATTTACATTAATATGACTTTGTTCCAACTCCTAAAAGACCATGTTAACTGCACCAGATCCCAATCGCTCCCTCCTTTTCAGAATAAGGAACTGGATCTTGATAGTATGGGGCAGAAATTTAGGATGTAAAATCTCATTTTCCTCCAAAGAAATCAATTCTCTAAAAGTGTTCTCATCTTATCTCCTAATCTTCAACTTTGGCACCAACAATCAAGCAGCTGGTTTCTACCCAAGTCAAAACAGCAAGCACCCGCAGGTTTCACAGCCACACAGGGAAATAGATGGGACATGGGGCTCAGAAACATGGCAGAGTAGTAATGTGACAACTTGTAATCCAGTGTTTTAACGATCTGCAGACATAAGTTCCAATCCTAACATGGTAGCTGATGAACTTTAAAATGTGGAGCTAAAAAATACATTCAGGAATGTGACCATAAAACTGTCACTGATTGCTGTAAAAACCTATCTGGGCCACTACTGTCCTTTTGAGGTGGAAATCTGTCGATCTTACCTGGTCTGGCCTGCACATGGCTTCAGAACCATAACAAGAACAGTCCAGTCAATTGAATTGAAGGCAAATGAGAATGCGCAACACCTGTCTTGCCAGCGACACCCATTTCCCATGAGAATTTGTGTTTGAAATCCTCAGCAACCAGGAAAAGGGCCATAGCTCTCTACCTTCCTAGCACAAGATTAATTTCTAGTGGTTCAGCTCCTTTTCTTTGTCAGTGATGTCCAATGCAATCTAGAGAAACAACACCTCAATTTCCAAGTAGGCACTTTACAGCCATTCTGGAAGCAACAGAAGACCATGACCACTGCCCTCCTTTTTAGAAACTCCCCACCCCTGTATTTTGTTTTCATATTAATGGTAACTGTACACTGCTATTAAACCTCCTCTGGACCAATGCTTTGCTTTTTCTCTACAACTATTACCATTCTCTTTGCCCCTTGTCTTACAACACTGACTTTCCTTCGATTCGACACACCTCTTTTTCAACAGTATAAAATATTTCCACCCGTCCTCCGTTCTGAAGAGTCATATTGAAATCCAAAACATCCAATTTTTTCCTCTTCACAGATGCTACCAGACCTGCTGAGTTTCTCCAGCACATCCAGTTTTTAAATTTCAGATCTCCAGCATCCAACATTGTTTTTAAATCAAATCTGGTGTCGTCTTAGTTTGATCTGAAATTGAGTGGATTATTATACATGTTCTCACTTGAAAGCGCAACAAATCCATTCCCTCAGCAAGCGACTCAGTACCAAGTACAATAATTTGTTACATTACAGAAAGTGTCATGAAATTGGAATGAAATATGAATATCAGCCCATCAAGTGATAAACTACCCACATACTTCGTCACTGTTCCTAGTTACAGACACTTTGTCATGTGCATGTATCACTCTAAAGTAATTAGTTTCAAAGTTCAAAGATACCAGTGTATCCAGTGAAAAAAAAAGTGACCCCTGCAAAAAAAGGTATGGCAGTGGAAAACAGAAAATCAAGGTGGAATTGGAACTACTCAAACTTGTCGGCCATACACAGCTTCACCACATACTACGGAGTTTCACTGGAAACCTCAATGCAGACACTGACCTTTGTAGGAAGCTTCTCTCGGTTGACAGCAAGGTTCAGATTTGACAAAAGACTGGATACTTCAGGAATACCATTCAGTTCCTATGCACAAACATAGACAGTTCAACGTTTTGGAAACACAAAAGGATTTGAGGCTGCTAAATACTAAAAACTGTTACTAAAGCTGCATAGCAATAGCCTCAAGTTTGACTTAGTACAGGGAAGAATAGGCAATACACATACAAGTTCTCGCAGATGCAGTAACTTAAAATTGCTAACAAAACTGCTGCTGCAAAGAGGCAGAATAATTAGCAACACCCACAATATTAGATGTCTTCTGTATATTATCAGCTGGCCCATGGAGAGTCACACCCAAGAGCAAAGAAAAAAATAGCAGACCACTGATAAATGCCCCAAGACTCAGTCAGAATTTACATCACCACATTCAATTTTCAAAAATCCAAAATTCAACTTAAGGAACCTAAGTTAACACGGTTTCAGAGCTTGCAACGAAGAGATGCATTCTCCTTAGGAGGTAAGAGACAAAAATTCACAAATTCCGTGACACTTAAATAGACTCAATTGAACTCCGTATGCAATTTTTGTCCTATGCCTGTTATTTTATTCCCAGGGAATGTGAACTTGAAGAGTAAGTTCTTAAACTACATTAAAAATCTCCAAGAACAAGGAACAGTCAAACAAATTGCTCTTTTAAACATCCAACAATGATTAATGTCATCAGTAAGCATCCATCTGGGGTTCATTTCCCTTTGAGCTATGCATAACTTATTTGGGTGACTTCAATAGTTAAATACCTATCCTCAAAAGTGCCATGCAGATGAGATGTAAAGCAACTAAACCAATTATGCAGAACTTGTGCAGTTATAAAATTTGAGTTTAAAAGATGAAAGTCAAAGATAAATGCTATCCAGTGTCTTAACAGAATCAGAACCTCAGGAGTTCACAAGAAAGACTGACCTTCATTTCTGGCAGTTAGCTTGGATCAGGCTCACTGAAGCAAAAGTCCAGCTTTCTAACTACTCCACTAATAAAACAGATTTTACAGATTTAATGGCTTGAGTTAAATATCCTTTGTACCTCTCACACCTGCAATACTAAGCTGTGTATGAATTGAACAATAACCACAAAACCACACCCATGAACTTTACTGGCAATTGTTTCAGGCCAGTTTGATTTTAGTAGCTTGGAAAGCAGAGATGTAGGGCTTACAAAATATTGGGAATTTGTTTACATGCCTTTCAAGTGCTCAGCAGGGATTGATACAGCCACAACTGATTTTGGTGGAGTTTTTTTGAAATTTGTTTCTCTTGCTATAAATTGGTGCAGAGCAAACAATATGGCCACCTTAAGAGAATGCCAGTGATCTAATTGGCTACTGATTTTCCCATCTATCTGATGGATGGAATTTGTTCATTATTTGCCATTTGTTGTCAACTGATATTGTGGGTGGGTTGGTCTTGTCAAATTAATAGATAACAAACACGCCAAATTTCATTGAAAGGGGTGGAGATTCTTACGTGTGCTTTCTTGCGCAACAAAAATTTATTCTCTACTTCATGCTCAGCTCCCTTCTCCGTGTCCTTGGGTACAGTGTCAACTGCAGCCTTTGACTTCAGAGCTTCAGGTGATTTCACAGGATTGTTGACAGACAATTCAGATTCTTTTGTGACTTTTGACTGGGGATGCAGCCACTGGTCTAAGTCGATCTTCTGCTGCTCTGCATTGCGTTTGTTTGGCTGCTCTATCTGCACACCATTCTTGTCTCTTCCTGCTTGTTTAAGTAGCCACTCATTGACTGCTTCTTTTTCACAACTCCGGCCACACACACACTCTGAGAAACTGCTGCACTGCTCATTGGCTTTACACACATCTGCCACTCGGATTGGCGACAGTGGCTGAAGATGGCGGGCACTGTTTGGTGAAGTTGGCGATGGCTTCTTGGCACTATGGTGCTCACTCAGGCACTTCAGCTTGCCAAGGTTTTCTATCTCTACTGCTTTTGTCTGAACGCCACAGCAGCTACCACAAGATTCAGACTTACTTGGTTTCAAAAGCCATTCATTGGTGGTAAACTTCTCTCTGAAAGGCTGAGTTATGGATTTCCACTTTTCTTCACTGATGCTGCCATGAGAACATGTGTTCTTCACATCAGTGACACTTACTGATCCAGAAGTTGGGCTTGCCTCTTCCAATTCTTGATCTGAAACCTCCATACCATATTCCTCTATCAGCTCAAAGGTGGAAGAACTATCAGATGACTCACTGTGCTGGCGTGGAGGGGTATTCTTGGGAGAACTAGATTTCTGCTTCTCAGGAAGTAGCCAGTGCTCAAGGCCCTGTCGATGACCCCAGGCTTGCAATCTGTAGTAATTCAGATCGATTGCTTTTTCATCATTGGAACTAGGATGTTGCTGAACACTGATCTTCTCAATTGTGTCAACATTCTGCTTGTCTGGAAGAAGCCAGTGCTCGAGGCCCTGACGATGACCCCAAGCTTGCATTCTGTAGTAGCCTAGGTCTTTCGGGCTCAGGTTACAGCTGGTGACAGTTTGGGTGTGTTGTTGAGCAGCAACATTCTCAGCTGGGTGACTCTTTTGCTGGTTGGGAAGCAGCCAGTTCTCAAGGCCCTGTTGATGCCCCCAGGCTGGCAATTTATAAGGGTCTGAATCCATTGCAAACTGATTTAGTGGTGATCCCTATGGAAAAATTAAATACACGATTGATTAATTCCTGATGCCCACGACACACGGTACCACCTAAGCATCACCAGTATAACACAATCTTAATTCACAGGCATAAACCAAGCATAAAATTCCAAACATACCTGTTCATTAATACATGGTCTGTGCATTGACTTCTGCTTAACTTACAGTGCAGCCTTCAAAAACAGACCCATAGTCCCAAGCAGCTAGAGCTCATTTCAGGTCTATATGAACAATTACTCCGCTCTGGGAAGTTCCACAATCAGGATCAAAATTAGGAAAATACTTTCGTAATGACATGTAAAGAGTTACTATGACACTGCAGAATGGATTCTGCAGTATAAACAAAGTCAACTGACCCTCCAGGCTATTCAACAGGAGCGAAGTATTACATAGACATTCCCAATTTAAAAGTCAGCAAGTGGACTAACAATGCAAAACCAGAAGGTACTTGTATTTATCATCGCACCTTCATTGTCACGAAACATTCCCAGGCCAGGGACAACATAAAACAAAATGCGACATTTAGCCACTGAAGAGGATGGTGGGATAAATGACAGAAGTTTTGAAAAAGGTAGGCTTTGCTCTTTTAAGATACCACTTAAAAGCAAGATCAGGAGGCAAAAAGATGTAGGCAGTGAATTCCAACAGCAACTGCAGAAACAGCCAACCAAAATGGAGCAATTAAAATTAGGGATGATCACGAGTCCATGTTACACAAGTGCAGACTTTGAAGGATTGTTTCACTGGATAAGGTTACAGAGATATGGAAGGGCAAAGCCATGGAGAGGTTTTGAAAACAAAGATAAGAACTGTGGCAACTTTTAAGCTGTGCTGCACAGTTGTAACGTACAACAGTGAGAATAGGATGGACTTGGTGAGAATTAGGAGATGAGTTTACAGAGGGTAGAATGAGGTCAATATGAAATGCATCAAATGGTCAACTCCAGGAGGCAATAAAAGGCATGAACTAAGGTTTCAGAAAATGAGCTGAGGCAAGGATGGAATTAGGACATGGTACAGTTGGAAACAGGTGGTTGTTTTGTTGCAGATGTGGTCAAAAGTTCATCTTGGGGTCAAATCTGTATTTTTCTGCCTTTGCTCAGAACAATCTAACAAAAAATTATTATGGATTGACAAAGCCCTGAGAATAGAGCCAGAGTTAAACAGCACAGGAACAAAACCTTCAGGCTAACTCATTCATGTCAACCAGATTTCCTAAACTGGTCTAGTCCCATTTGCCAGCATTTGGCCCATATGCCTAAATCATTCCTACTCGTGTACCCATCCAGATGCTTTTTAAATGATGTAACTGGACCAATATCTACTACTTACTGTGGCAGCTCATTCCATACACACACGGAAAAGTTGCCCCTTACGTCCCTTCTAAATCTTTCCTCTCTCACCTTAAACCCATGCCCTCTAGTTTTGGACTCTCCTACCTTGGAGAAAAGATCTTGGCTATTCACCCTGTTCATGTGCCTTGTGATTTTGTAAACCTCTATAAAGGTCACCCCTCAGCCTCTTACGCTCTAGGAAAAATAGCCCCAGCTATTCAGTCTCTCCCTGTTATCACATAGCTTCACCTCAGGTACAAAGGCATTTACTCAAAGACTTCCTTGTCTTTGCAAATTATATGGGCTAGCTGACCCCAACTGTCTATACTGTTTCTGTATGTCTGCAATCCTTCAGTGCTAGGTACAAAACACTTGGGTATAAGAGGAGTTGTAAAAGAAAGAAACAAAGTTAAAAAGTTAAGCATTGCAGACCATCACGATAAGTAGACAAATAAAGAAAGCAATAGTTAAAAGTCCTGAATATAAACTGAAAAAAAAACAAACTTTCTGAACACTTTCAAGTTTAACAACTTTCCTATAGTAGGGAGACCAGAACTGAACACAGTATTCCAAAAGTGGCCTCACCAATGTCCTATACAGCCACAGGCCCTCTCCACTCTCCATGCACTGACCAATAAAGGCAAGCATACCAAACGTTTCACTACCTTGACCACTTGCAACTCCAATTAAGGAATATGGACCTGCACCCATAGGTCTTTGTTCAGCAACACTCCAAGGCCATAACCATTAACTGTATAAATCCTGCCCTGATCTACCTTACCAAAATGCAACACCTAACATTTATTTAAATTAAACTCCACCAGCTACTCCTTGGCCATTGGCCCATCTGATCGAGGTCCTATTGTATTCTGTGGTAAACTGTCCACTACACCAATTTTAGTGTCACCTGCAAACTTATTAACCATACCTACTTTATTTACATCCAAAATCCATACAAATGAAAAGCAGTGGACCCAGCACGGATCCTCGCGTCACACCACTGGTCACAGGTCTCCAGTCCGAAAAACTCTCCACACTCCCCCCACCGTCTCCTATCTTCAAGTCAATTGGAAACAAAATTGGCTATCTAAACTTGCTAACCAGTCTACCATGTGGAACCTTATCAAACACCTAGCTGAAGTCCATATAAACTGTCTACCACTCTACCTTCAATCTTCTTTGTCACTTCTTCAAAAAAGAAACTCAAGTTGGTGAGACATGATCTCCCACGCACAAAGCCACATTAGGGATACCCAATCAGTTCTTGTCTTTCTAAATGTATGTAAATCCTGTCCTGCAGAATCCCCTCCAACAACTTACCTACCACGGACGTTAGACTCACCAGTCCATTATTCCCTGGCTTTTCCTTACCCCCTTTCTTAAATAACAGCACATAAGCCAAACTCCAGTCTTCCAGCACCACATGCTCGGCTATTGATGATACAAAATATCTCAGCAAGGGACCCAGAAAATCTCTTCCCTGGCTTCCCACACAGTTCTAGGATGCACTTGATCAGGTCCCCGGGGATTTATTCACATTTACACGTTTTAAGACGTACAGCACCTCCTCTTCTGTAATATGGATACTTTAAAACATCACTATTTATTTCCCCAAGTTCTCTAGCTTCCAAGTCCTTTTTCACACTAAATACTGACACAAAATACTCATAGTATCTCATCCATCTCCTGTGCTCCCACATAGACAGACTTGTTGATCTTTAAGGGCCCTATTTTCTCCCTGGTTACTCTTTTGTTCTCTTTGGATTAATGATTAGATGATCAAGGTTCAAAAATTAGTCTCATCAGCACTTCATGAAAACCTTTAAGCAAGAAAAAACCTTATCACGTTGCTTTAATAGTAAAACTTTGAAAAAAGGAAACAAGCCATACAAATTTAAATCAAATTAAATCCAGCTCGAGACTCAAGTATCCACACTAAAACAAAAAGGGCATTAGGTGAATATTCTTCAGCAAATAGTTATGATTTTGATTTTAAGCCAGCTTTTAAAGTTTCTTTGGATCAGAATCATGATCACTTTACTTATCTCACCTTCAAACATTTCCTTAACCCTCTGCACTTGCAGTCTTAATGCGCTTTAATTACTGAACTACAGCATGTTCATATTTTATGTACACCTCATCAAACATGCCTTATATCAAGCTTGGAGAATTGATCGAGAGCCATACACAGTACTTTCACTGGAGCACTGCAATGGCCCAGCAGAAAATCTAAGTTGGACAGAAATATAAAACGGATCTTTTCACTCAGTCTTTGGTGTCTTTACATATTTAAAAAAAAACACTGAATTAGAATCGACTTGTTTCAAAAAGGATTAAATTAGTTCAAAGGGCGACTACCTAGAATTGATACTAGAACCAGACATCCCATATTTCAGTACAATCAGACTCAAACTTAGTGCTTATTGTGACTGACAAATTCAGGATGCCGTCTCAGAACTAATGGACACTTACAAAATAGGGGGTCATGAATGCAAAACAAGGAGAATTTTTCTTCCCATAGGTTCCACTGGACCTCTGTTCCTCAAAAAGGTAGTGGGAACAGAGCTCTTGAATAGTTTTAAGGCAGAGGTAAATCAATTCTCGATGATCAAGGGGCTGAAAGTTTCAAAGTACGTGGGAACACTAAGTAGTCAACTGTGACCGATTTGAATGGCAGAATGGTCTACTCCTGCTCCTGGTGTTCATATGCTCACACATATTGATAAATCAACCTATGCAATGAGCCAGCTGGGAAGAAAGGTCACTTTAACATACTGCAAACCTTCATCATTCATTGTATCAAATAGTTTCCAGAAGCTACAAATACCTATACCAAGAGATAGTAAGAACTGCCAATGCTGGAGTCTGAGATAACAGTGTGGAGCTGGAGGAACACAGCAAGCCAAGCAGCATTAGAGGAGCAGGAAAGTTGACGTTTTGGGTTGGGACCCTTCTTCAGAAATCTGAACTTTCTGAAGAAGGGTCCCGACCCAAAACGTCAGCTTTCCTGCTTCTCTGATGCTGCCTGGCCTGCTGTGTTCCAATACCTGTAGCAAGCTATTTAGAAATAGAGCTAACGTGAGCAATCACTTCATCCTAAATGGAAAACTGTGTGCAATGGAACTTGCAGCTTCAGGCAATTCATCACTCACCTGGCCAGACTGTTTCAGCAGGCAATCCTGCAGGTTTAAGACTGGCATCCGTGTAGGAGGACTACACAGCCAGTCAGCAATTGGGCATTCATTCCCACTGGGAAAGGATTTCTGTAAGAAGAAAGTCAAAATCTGAGCTATGGCATTAAGTTAAACCAAGTTTAAAAAAAAGTTAGCCAGTGATGGATGTCATGAGACACACAGGCTGAAGCACTGGGCTATCATATCTGCACAAATGCAGATAGTAAAAAAACATTCCCACGCCATGTTGATTGGACTTCAAGATCACTGGTCATTCCAACATGGAAAGGAGAGCAGAGGCTCACTACTTCTCTCAAGTTGAGCACTAATCTGTACATGGACTTTACGCAGCACTTGAGAGTTGTGGACTTTGCACATATATTGCAGTAAATGCGCAAACCGTGCAGCTCTTAAACAATACAGTATAGAATGGCTCAACAAAATCAATTCACTTTGAACTGCAAGGAATGGAACAAGCCACCATTTAAAGAGAAAGGTTTACCTTTGTCAGCAGTGGTACGAAGCAGTAATCCAGATCAGCTGCCATGGTGCAAGGACTCTTGCACTCAGAATCTGAAACCTACACCAGACCAGAAAAGAATTCTCATGATTCCTGTAATCATGCAGTAAACATGCATAAAGAATCAAAGTTCTGACAGATAAATGTGCACATAATATCAATCATGCTGTCAAGCCCAGCAAACAGACCTTTTGGTCACCACTACTTTCTTCTGGCACCAGTAATACACCCAGCTTTATTACTGAAGCAGTAGAGTTAAGAACAATTTCCTGCTGAAACATTTTTAACAGACACAAAGGAGAGCAGAACTTCTGCAGGAATATTAGAACGACACAACCTAGCCAACAAAAGCTGAAATGCTGGCTACTCCAATTCTAAATTAATTCAAAGCCTCTATCTGAACTCCAGGGATATTTGGTCAATGCAAAGTATTGCAATGCTCCAAGTGAATTGTGCATAATAGTTCTGCATACATTGGTGGGCAGCCATTGGTAGGTTCTTTCCTTAGTGCAGTACAACTTTTCCACCAATAATTAAAAACTTCAAATGCTCTACACCATAAAAGTTCTTATGGCAAAAATAACATTTCTTTGAACCAACAAACTCTTACCAATGTTTTAATAGCCCCAAAGTTTGTAATGGCTTGGCGGAGCGAAGGGACATCAGCCTCAAAATTCAGGGTGGGAGATTCTTCAGGTTTCAGAGTCAGGTCCTTCAATCTGGAATGGGACGTGTGTGAAATCAGTGAAAGGCTGCATTATTTCTTTTTTTAACTGCTTTTAAATGTTGGGGAAGGCTATCAAAGCATCATTTAACAGAAGCAGTCCATTCCAAAGCAGAATTAGATTCAGGAGAAGTACAGAAAATGCTGGAAATAAGTCAGGAAGTGGCTGTGGACTGAGAAACAGAGTTACTTTAAAAAGGTGATAACTTTTCATAAGAACTGAAACAGTAATGGTGTAGTGGGTTTGAAACAGGTAGCATACAAAAACAGGGAAAAAGGTACATGCTGCTGGGGAAGAAAAGAACAAAGATCATAAAGTCTGTGACAGATGTGGAAAGGAGAGATTAAATGATAAAAAGGGATGGTACAAAGGTTAGTTATGTTAATATTACAAGTCAAACAAACAAAAAGATAGATAGATAGATATGGAGGAGCATAAATGGCAACAACAGAATCATTACAAATTGTTGCTGCCTGCAGGGAACAGGAAAATGGTGGTTGTGACCTGATATTAAATTCAACAATTCTGCAGATCAGAATAGTCAGTTCCCATTCTCAATAAGTACTGTACGAAGTCTCAAGTGCTTGAAATCATAACTTTCTCCACAGATGCAGCCAGACATGCTGAGTTTTTCTCGCATTTTCCATTTTGTTTTAAATTCAACAATATTGAGTCCAGAAAGTTATGAAGCGCTTTATTAAAAGTGAGGCATTGTACCAGGCTCCTGTTGAGCTTTAGGCTATTCTGCATATTCCTCACCTCTCACTCCCATGAAGAGTGCAGCAGGTTAGGACAGTGTGCAAAGCAAGATCTTGACTTCCATACAACCCAGTTTCATTGATTAGAAGCCAACTCAAAAATGTCCTTAAAACAACTTGGGTGTTTGAAACAGTGCAGATGAATCAGTCACAGAATCCCACATGCCTCCTAAATCATATCCACTGAATGAAGCTGATCTAATAACAACCAAAAGCCACTCAATATGACAAGCTCAAAAGTGAGAAGTCCACATTGCTCAACTGGTTATTCTATAACTAAATTCGGATTTTAAATTCACAAAATTAATTAGAGTACAGATCAATAACATTTTTCTTTAAAAAGCCACAATTTGGAGCATAGCAACTCACCTCTCTAGGCAGGTTTTAATTTGATCAGCGGGAAGATTACTTTGTGGATGTTCCAATTGATTAATAAGACAGTTGAACTGACCCAGCAGCTGAGGGAAAAGAAGTACATTTAAACTTGAATCATGTCAACATACAAAATTCTCTTCGTACAATGCAATTGTTCTGAGTACACAGACAGGGAGGAGGAGGAGGTGGGGGAGGGTGGGGCGGGGGGGGGGGGGGGGGGGGGGCGGAGGTGGTAGTAAAAGCAGCAAAATCAGAGACCAGAAACATATAAAAGGAATAGGGAGTAACTGGATCATACAG